ATGCTGAATTTTAGGATTGAGATTCATGACTCATTCATGACGGTCCCTTAATAAATTAAATGCTTCATTTGCCTTTTGTGCCAGTATAAGTACACTATAAGGACAAAAGTATTGGGACACACCTCTTAATCATTTAATTTAGGTGTTTCATTCAGACCCATTACCACAGGTGTGAAAAATCAAGCACCTAGCCATGCAGGCAGATTTACAAACATCTGTGAAATAATTGGCCAAACTGAAGAGCTTAGTGAATTCAAGCATAGTACTGTCATAGGATGCTACCTTTGCAATAAGTCAGTTTGTGAAATTTCTTCTCTGCTAGATATTCCACGGTCAACTGTAAGTGGTATTATTGCAAGCTGGAAGCATTCAGGAAGAACAGAAACTCAGCGACAAAGTAGCAGAGCACATTAAGTAACAGAATAGAGTCACTAAGTGCTGAGGCACATAATGTACAGTATAAAGGTTGCAAACTCTCTATCTACACAGTTCCAAACTGGCATTAACCTCTGCACACTGTGGCCAAGCAGCTGCATACAAGCCTCACATCACCAAGCACTTTGCCAAGCATCAGATGGAGTAAAGCACAAATCGTGCTTCTCTGTCTGGCAGTCTTATGGACGAATCTGGGTTTGGCGGATGCCATGAGAACGTTACCTGCCTGACTGCATTGTGTGAACTGTAAAGTTTGGTGGAGGAGGGATTATGGTGTGGGGTTGTTTTTCAGGGGTTAGGCTTGGCCCCTTAGTTCCAGTGAAGGTAACTAAGTACACCAAGACATTTTGGACAATTCTATGCTTCCAGTTGAGTGTGGAAGCACTTGACTGGCCTGCACAGAACCCTGACCTCAACCTCATCAAACACCTTTGGGATGAACTATAACAGAGATTGTGAGCCAGGCCTACATGTTCATCATCAGTGGTTGACCTCACAAATGCTCTTCTGGATGAATGGGCAAAAATTCCCATAGACACAATATATTGGGGAAAGCCTTCCAGGAAGAGTGGCAGCTGTTATAGCTGCAAAGGGGGAACCAAATCCATATTGATGCCTATGGATTTAGAATGGGATATCAGTGAATTTCTGGGTGGCACTGTGGTGCAGTGGTTAGCGTTGTTGCCTCGTACGTTTGGGACCTGGGTTTGAGTCTTTCCCATGGCTCTATGGGTGGGGAAATTGCATGTTCTCCTTGTGTCAGTGTGGCAATTTCTTTAAGTACTTTGGTTTCCCCCCACATGTACCTGTATGTCTACGCCAATGTCCTGATTGGTGCAAATGCTCCCTGCATGGGCCTGTATGTCTACGCCGATGTCCTGATTGGTGCAAATGCTCCCTGCATGGGCCTGTATGTCTACACCGATGTATGAATACTGATAGATAGCCCTTATGAAGTCAGATAAAATGAGCTTTACTTTCTATTCCCCCCAGAAACAAACAGAAAGTGACAAGAGGTGGGTTTTCACAGGACTTTTAATGCAAAAAACAGGTCAGTGCAAATTGGGGGGGCTGGACCCAGGGGGGTTAAATACATATATAAGGATTTATATATATAGTGTAATGTGCATGAAAATAATAAATAACACAGCAGCATAAAGAGGTGGAATACATATAGGAAAATGAGTACCAATAAATGGTTGATATTAATAAGTCAAAGTGACCAGTCTCGGTCTAGTGTGGGGTGTGGATATTCTCATAAACACGAGATAACTATGCACATCGGGTGAGTGGCGTATAACATGGAACACATGAGCAATTCCGAAACCTCACATACCACATACCATAAACCCACCAGCAAAAATTGCCCACTGAATGGGCATGATTCATCGCCCTGTTGGAGGAGAGGAGCCCTGGGATAGGCTGATGTGTATCCTGCACTAGGGGGCGCTCTCTAGGTCCCTGACACATCAACATACTGAACCGCCATTTGACTTGGTCTGGGATCCCACTGGCGGCCTGGAGATAATGGCAAGTGTTGCTGTAGATTACATTACATGTTGACGGGCTCATAAGGATGCGAATGTAAATGCCGGCACACTGTCATGGCAAATGCCTTTCCTTTAAAAGAGGTTTCCTCCTGTAAAGGGAGTTGAAACAATATACCCCCCCCCCCCCCAACTGCTCTTGCAAGGCGTTTGCCAACCATTTAGCATCCTGTATGCGGCAGCCTCCGACCAAAGGGATGTTTTGTACTTGAGGCTCTTGCCAGCCTGAGAGTCTGCAAAGGCGGACGACCCGGAATCCTTGAGATGAATAGCACGTGGAAATCCTTATATCTACCAGGCTGCTATTCGGAAAGCTCAAATAAAACATCTGAGAGACTCTGACAAAGTGTGGATCACCTATAATGCTGTTTGAAAAGCCACACAGGCCTACTGGCAGCGATTTACACCGCAGACTGTTCCGGAACAAGGGCTTCCGCCTGCTGCATGACGTTATGACTTTAAAGTGCGTACATTTTTTTCCAGCAGTGGCAGATTCTGCCAATTGCCCGTGCGGGGAGGCATCTTATGAGCGGGAGCCCCCCCGGGGAAAACGACAGGTGGAGTAACTTTACTAGGGTGCCACTAATTTTATGCTTATATGTTCATGCAGTAAAAAGATATTTATAACGACAAGAAAAGACAGCGGATAAACCTGGAGGATGATGCGGTAAATCTCTCGACAGTTGCTGCACCAAGTTAAGATCAAAGTTGTCTTACTTTCTAATTACTCTGAAGTTTAGCCACTGTTTGAAAACACGCCAAATGTATTCTTTACCCCTATATTTGTGTACAGCAGGTTCATTTCAATATTTTTCACATCAAAACTAAAAGAAATATTCAGATCAGGCAGCCCTAAGCTAATATAATATAAATGTTAATGAAGATTTGCGTGGCAAGTCAGTGAGAGGAGCGTTAGCAATATATTGGATCTACTTTTTGGATACATCAGTCCTCTCAACAAGTTTTCTTTTCTCCGTTAAATTTAGTTTGAGAGACGCCAGCACCGAGAGTAAACAAAATATAATATTTGAGAGACATAAACAGATGATGCACTGAGAAGATGATGATGGTGGTGATGGTCTTGTATGCAAATGCAGAAGAATGGGGGACACATTAGTTTGCATTCTGTTCAGAAGGATTCATTTGCTTTCAAATCCCTCTCATTAATATTTTGTCAAACCCATAATCTGTTTAGTTACCTTTATCATAAATTGAGCCTGGTAATAATTTGCACTTCGGCAAGGTTGCATTCTCTCCCTCCTATCTCCAAATGGGTAGGCCTAATTCTGTTATGGGTAAATGCCGTTTTGATTGTGTTTGCCTCGTTGCTCGCACATTCTTGGGGAGAAAAAGTTAATTAGATATTAGCCATTGATTTTTAATTTCAGTTATTTGCTTTGAAATATGAAGTACGTGTTCCACATTGCAATGGTCTGCAAAATATATTGAGTGATGAAAACCTGCGGCTATAATGAGATATTTGTGCTGTTTACCAGGAGCTTATCTCTAATTAACAGTCTTAGGAATAGTGTGATACATATACATACATAACTTTGTGGTTTGGAGTATAACTGGTAATAGCACACCTGTTCAAGAGTGGGAAAAATTGTATAATTATTAAAATATATTTAACAATATGGTGATTAATATATATATATATATGTGTGTGTGTGTGTGTAAATATATATATTTACGCATACATACCCTGGGCTGAGTACTCTAAGCCTAGTCCCCAGTATTTTAGCCCCGATCTTCCATAGATAGATAAATAAATAAATAAGGTCCCAGATGAATCTGACTCAGCCTCTGATTTTTCTCAGTAGCTAGAAAGGCCTGATGCACAATACACACACAGACATATATATATAACATAGAACTTACAAGTAGAGGTTTTGAGTCAGTGTAAGGTTATTAACTCAACAAAGGGCAACATAAATCCCTGAGGACTGTAAGGGGGACTTAAATCACCCCCAAGGGAGATTTACTCTTAATTCATACTTTTATGTGAGTAACTTTCAGTAGTTTTGCAAATATCTGAGACAAACATGCTTGATCTATGCAGAAAGAATAGAATGTAAACCCTGGTGTTGGGCATTGGATTAGCCATGCATTTAACTGCTTTAGGAAGCTTAATGTACCATTACAGTCTTACATCAGTTTAGCTGGATACATAAAAGAGACATTGAGAGGTTTGTTAGCCGTGTTTGTGCAAAGATTACGACCAGCGGATGACTGTAAAAAGATGGGGCTATTCTGATTGGCATTCTTACAACAGCAATTATCATAAAACCTGCATGTGCTACATCTTTGTCTGCATGGTTTCGTATTCGCCAGTGGTTCCAAAGCAGCAGTTAATACTTTCTGGATGTAGCGTGTAAACATAAAGCAAATAGTACAAAGGCAGAAATGAAGGGGACACACCTGTACATCCAGAGATCTTTAATTGTATTTTTTTCCTATGCAATGGAGCCTACAGCCATACCACAGTTGCAACAATCAAATATAAATAAAATACATCTTAACAGTAAACATGCTCATCATAAAAATAGCTTTACAAAAATGTTTACATTTCTATACAACATTGTTCATATATTGAACTGAACTTTGCTTGGGCATTTTATAAATCACAGTTTTTCATCCACCTGGAAAGTCTAATTTACGTAACTGTTTTGAGTCCTACTGTAATTATGATGTATAAAAAACAAAGTGAACTGTACTGTCTGATTCCCCCAAATCAAAAGGTTTTCAGTTTTGAAGTTGTCACAATTGCTTAGATCCGTCTTGAAACATTTTTATCACTATGGGAGGTACTTTTAAAATCATAATGACAAAAAAATCCAGTGAATATATAAGACCATTTTATCTTGGGGGGAAAAGAGATATCGGCATACAAAAATAGAGAGCTCACTATCCATTAGAGTAATAGGCCTTCAGATATAAGACTGCTGCTGTACAATGAAACAAATGGTCCGGGAAGGGAGACGGAGCCCCCCCCCCAAGCCACCCACCCACCCACTGGTCTCCCCACCCTTGGTAGTTACGAGGAACATGACTGCCTTTCGCTGCCATTTACTTGCCATTTTACCTTCTATTCTTCATGAAACATAGAAAAGCAGATGTAACAGACACTTTGGACTGTGCCATTATGCTTTTTTGACGGGAGGGCACCGCACTGAAATGATGTTTTTTATCCAGTGGAGAGCCCTCCTTGAAAACCGGTGGCATTTACCTTTTAACTAAATACTAAAAAGAGGAGCTGGAGAGCCCTAATGAGAAGCCAGTGGCCACTGGGAGGGGAGGGGGTGAAACCCTCAGTAGAAAGAGGGGGGGGGGGGGAGGCACTACAGGGTGAGGCATCATGCCCCCTATTAGAAAGTTCTGGCACAAGTCAGGATGACATAAAGTGTCACACGCTACAGCAAACATGCTTGGGTCGCACCAGCTCCTGGAAGGGGGTGTTTACAGCCACAGCAGATACGTGAGGGGTAATAAAAAAGACCCACTTTCTGAATTCCTCAGAACAACGCTCTGTATTTGTTCACTTTAGCTCCTCCTCTTTCAAAAACAATTATTTATTAATGGGCCCCAATGTTGAAGAAGCAACCTATTAAGATTTTATCTATCAGGGTTACGTGGGGAAAACAAACCAGCCAGGAATATGGGGTCTTATTAACTGGCAAACTGCTAAGGGAGGAGATGTAGGACATTCTTCATCTTCAATTAAAAATACGGAATAAACAATGACATTCATATAAATGGTTTGTAGAAAGCGCCAATAGGCAGAGTGCATGCCTTACACGGATGTACACATTATGTGCTGAAGTGCCTCTTTATAGTCTTTCATTATTCGAACAAATATGATATTTAAAAGGGTTTTTAAAACATCTGTAGGACTGAATGGATTTTAATTACAAATAAATGACATTGATGTGTGATGTGGACAGTGTCGGAGAAAACTAACGAACATTTTCTAAGGGTGCACACTGGTCAGTCCCACGTCGCCGTGGCCCATGAAACCTTTCTTACGAAGCAAAAGATTCATTTTCATTTTTTTTCCCGAGAAAGCGTCTTTTCCGAAAGCCGTCTATGCGTTTCCTTGGGACTATTTCAGTTCCCTTAGATGGCGCTGCTTCCCTCTTCCTCCGGCTTTGGTTCACTCTCCTTCTCCCTAAAGAGAAAAAATGAAAGCAAATTGAAGTGAGACGGAGGAGCTGTTCATTTTCCTCCGCTGGATATGCATGCGGTGTAAATTATAAACCCAGAGCGTCTCCATCAAGGTTACGGCGACCCGAGAATTAAAATCGCCGCTGCCAAGTGTCAGACTCGCTGTGTAAATCTGTCTGTCTCCATTTATAGATGCCTGGGATTATCCTGTGTCTAAGAGGAGTTCTTAGACCCACAGGATGTCTAGATGGAAACACACGTTTTTCTTCCAGATTTCAACAGAAGCACAATGGCAGACAGATCTGTGGTCGCCAATCTTTTATATATATTCATATGCATGTCTGTCTGTCTGTCTATGTTTTTTTCTGAGGTCTTGTAACTCTCGGATTTGCGGTTTTCTTTCCTTCTAAACGGCAGCAGGCTTTAAGGGAGAAATATGTACATAATAGCAGAAGCAGCTGCGTGACATATGGCCGGTCTTAGCTGTACATTTCCTACTAAGCCACAAAATTTGTCACAGTGCTTGGTGGAGATGATGGTGCGCGGGGGGGGGGGGGGGGGGGGGGGGGGGGGGGGGGGGGGGGCATGGACACTTTCCTGGATTCAACCTCAGGCGAGGCAGGCTACCTACGAAATCGTGTAACGAAGTGCACAGACAAACTGGCGGCTGCGGGGGAAGCTAGTGTGGGGGATCGGAGGGGGGGTTTACAAAAACCACCAAAGACTCCCCATTCTCACTCACAACCTGGAGCAGGAAGGGCAATTAAGTTACTGCGGAAACGAACACGCTCCACTTGCTGTGCCCTTAGATCCCCCGGAAAGTGGATGGGTAATTAGGAACAGCAAATTAAGTATTACATTAAATGAATAACCAAACAACACTGCAAAATGGTCACGATTGCCTCTATAAAAATGCACCACAGCCAATGATATGATTATTGTCATTATTATTGTTGTTGCTTTCTAACATTGACATGCAGACTTGCAGATGATATTGCTCTGAGTCTAACCCATTTATAGGCCTACACCTTTCCCACCTGCGCCCACCGGCTTCTCCATCTTTTTCTCATTTTAATACTTTCATTTTCCTCTCTTTGCAGATGCTGTACATGTCCTCTCTTTAATTAAAATATTTCAGAAAACGTTAGGGTCACAGTAAATCGCACGCCCAGGTGTTTACACTGATTACAGTGACGTACACGTTCAGCATATAGCTTGTGAGATTATCTTACTTAGCTAGCCTACACCATGCCTCGTGTATATATCTTTATATACTGCATGGTAAGCGAATCATTCTTCAGTAAGTGGGTGTATAATGTGCAGGGGGCGCACCATGCAATCATAAAATCCTAGCGGGAAAGAGTGCTATTCCGCATCTGCTGCTCTCCACATAACAGCACAGTTCCAAGGCGCCGACTTTTAAGTGAGTTTGGAGGGGGTGGCGGGGGGGCATTTTTGTTTTCTAGAGGCGATGTGATTGTTTCGGTGAGCGAGCGCGAGGTGCAGAATGACGAAGCGGCTGTGCGCTGGGTAAGCAGCGCCGGGGGCTGGCTGCTGCTATAGGGAGCCAGGGACACCCAAAGGAGGGGACGCCAGCGAGGACGGGGACCCGCTCTGAATAGAAATACTCATCAAGATCAGATTCTCGCTTCAGATAAAATCTGCGCACGCCTAAGTCACTTCCTACAGCCTAACGGGAAGGGATGTGTTCAAGGACGCGGCAGGTTTAAAAATAATGCACCAGAAACGAAACGCGCAACAACGAGCGATAACATTTTATGAGTGTTAAAGCAAATCTGCTGCCGTTTACCGGACATGATGCGGAACAGCGTTTCCACAAAGGCAAAGGCATCAGATATGTTTTCAGCCTCTAATCCCGCCCGGTTGTGTCCAATCACAGCCCCGACTCGGTTGTATAATCCTCTGTGGGGGCGTGGCCTATGAGGAGACCCCAGCACAGTCTACTGTTGGCCTACGATATCCTGCCATGTGGAATGTGGGAATAAAGACAATATTCTGTTCATTATCTTACACTAGCTACGATTACAATCATATACAGGCCAGATTACAATCATACACAGGCCATATTACAATCATATACAGGCCAGATTACAATCATATACAGGCCAGATTACAATCATACACAGGCCATATTACAATCATATACAGGCCAGATTACAATCATATACAGGCCAGATTACAATCATACACAGGCCATATTACAATCATATACAGGCCAGATTACAATCATATACAGGCCAGATTACAATCATATACAGGCCAGAGTATAATCATATACAGGACTGACACGCTGTCCAGGATGTCCCCGGCCAGCTACCCTGTGCTTCCATGTGTGGATGGGATCCAGCCTGCTCACCCCCCCACAAAGTGGTTTAAAGCCACTGAAAGCAGTAGTTTCCTACATGAGAAAACCATTACAGCCAAACTCCAAACATATGCTTAGCTATAAAAACAGCTGCCCAGGTCCACTACGGAGCTTTACATCCTTCAGATTATCATTTGCATGAAATCCCGAACAAGAATGGCTCCAAACTTGGAACAAAATCAGAAGTGGTGGGATTTTCCTTTTCTTCTGGAGTAAATCATAGCTGAGCATAGTAGACAAATGGCTGACGAAAAGGCACTCGGGGGGGGGGGGGGGGTTGTGGCAGGAAGCACTGAGAAACAGCAGGGGGCTCGTCTGCTCTCCCTTTCAGCACGGGGTAGATATCTCGGGGGTGTGGACCTCACAGAGGCTTCGACAGCATGATGCGGCTGATCTCATTAACCCCAATGCTCTCACAGTCATGGTGATCCTCCGTCGCTGCTCTGTTAGGGACGTGTTCACCCTCTCATGCTACGCAGGCTAAGGTAAGGCGGGCACTCTGCCAGGTCAGGACTGTGCGTATCAGAGCAGGTGGCACCACCTTTTAGGAATCTAGTCTGACTAGTTTCGTGAGTCTGATGATTAGGACCCTGCTTGGCCTTAAACAGATCTAACGATTAATGACTACCTGGCCAGCAGGGGGTGTGGTAGTTCAGGACCCTGATCCTTAATCTAAAGCAGGGGTTTCCAACTCCGGTCCTGGAGAGCTACTATCCAGTAGGTTTTCTGTCCCACTTGGCTTCTGATGAGCCACACCTGCTCCTGGTATTTACCTGAGAACAGGTGTGGCTCATCAGAAGCCGGGTAGGATAGAAAACCTACTGGATGGTAGCTCTCCAGGACCGGAGTTGGAGACCCCTCATCTAAAGTTTGTTGTTTCTAGTTACAGGGGTGTCAGGGTGTCTCCCTCGCACTGCATGTCTGTATGGCAGTGTCAGGGTGTCTCCCTCGCACTGCATGTCTGTACGGCAGTGACAGGGTGTCTCCCTCGCACTGCATGTCTGTACGGCAGTGTCAGGTTCATCTTGTCCTCACGGGTAATTCTCGCTCAGCTGTTGACTAATGTGTGGGAGTGAGTGTGCAAAAAACAGAGGCCTACGTGTTCAGTTTTTACATTTATTTTCTAGTATCCCGCAGCCCCAGAATGACTTAAATTTACCTTTTTCAGTTGTCTATGTCCGATACATGGTTCTCTATCTGAAACACAGAAAAAAACACAAAACAAAACAAACGACAAAAAAAAACTCGTGATAAATTTGTTTTAAATGTTGCATGTATAATTTCATTCCCCTGCTTACGGGGGTACTGTATAGGAATTAAAGCCCCCCCCCCATACCTTTTCTTACTGTCATCCCCAGGTACAGTCTCCGTCCCCAATAGTGACATGCATGGTACTGTACACATGATGCGAGACGCGTGTCAAATTGCCACTGACGCCCGATTACCCGTCTCCCAGAACAGGGCCATTTGTCACTGTTTCCATGACATTACATTTTACTTATTTATCAGAGCGATGTACATTTTTGAGAAAGCAGGGCCAGACGGTCCTGGGGCATTTGGGTATTAAGGGCCTTGCTTAAGGGCCTGTTGGTGACACCGATGACCTTCCGATCACACTCACACCGCCCAAACCCAGGGAGCCACGCGCCATTTCACTCTGCGGCGTGCGGCTGGTGTCCTTATCGATCAGCCCCCCCGCGTGATCAGAGTCCTGCTCCTCCTCTCCCTGCCCCCCACCTCCATACTCTCCATCCACTTCCCGCTGCTCCATCTTTATTTCCCACATACCGCCCCCAGCTGTGGCCCCAGCGGGAGACGTGCTCCTGAATGCCGTTCGATTGCTGGATTCTGGTGACTGTGCGTGACAGAGTTGGGACGACGCCCCGCAGCTGAGGACATCCTGCCCCCATTGCCATGGGATACGGACAGGCCTCCCGCAGAACCCCCCAGAAAGAGAAACGCCACGGCCTCAGTCTCTGCTTAATCTAGATGCCGGCGGGGCATGGATTGAAATAAAAGGGCACGCAGAGCCCATATCACACGCCATCACTTATTAATGCTCCTAAAAATATCTACAAAAGAGTCTTTTTGTGCCTTGGCTGGATTCCGACTAGCACTCCTGGTGACCCTGCTTTTCCAGCTTACTTTCCAAATCTCTGCCTCCATCGTCCTCCCACGTCCCTCAGCAGTGAATGCCCAACATTTTTGCAGGGCCTATCTGGTCGGCATCGCCAAGGATGCCCCCCACCCCACGTGCTCCCCTCACCAAACTTCAAAAGCAGCTTTAAGTTCAGCACACAGCGGAGCGCGGACGGACTGATTCGCCGGGTCTCTCTCTCTTAATGGCTGGGGTACAAGGACAGGTTGGCGGCCCTAAATCTCACATGGGGCGTGACAAGATACGCAGCCTGCTTTACTGATGGCCTTAATTCAAGGCCGTCAGGCCAAGTGTGTCGGTGTAATGGAGGCTCAAAGGAGGCTAGATTAATGCCCCCTGTGTGGAACAGAGGCGTATCTCCGGCTAATTGGATTGGAGATGGGCGTCAGCCTACTGATTAAACACCCAAACGGGGGGGTGCCACCTGAGCCTGACCCCCTTGGCGTGTGTCTCCCCGCGGTCGGCTCTCCTCACCGGGTCGTTGCTGCCGTCCTCGTCGTAATCATCCTCGCCCACGTCGGTCATCTCCCCGGCCTCCGTGTCCAGTGCTCCGTCCCCCACCTCCTCCGCCGAGTTGTCCGCTGTCTCTGATATGGACTCCTCTGGCAGAGACTCGCACGTGTCCTCGTACCTCCTCTGCACCTCTGGGCACGTTGGACAAAGAGAGGCGGAGTCAGTTTGGGGGAAATCCAGACTGGGCTGACTGTGGGCACCCCAATGATCGAGCAGCGAACCCAACACCACCTCATTCCCCAGGCATCCCTTAGACTGCAACATGTGGGGGGATGTCACATGATTACATGAGGGAGATGTCACATGATTATGTGAGGGAGATGTCACATGAT